CACCATTAGCTGTCACTATCATCGTGATAGTCAGACATTAAATATTCTTATTCTTGGGGTTTTAAATCAAATTATTCGTTAATTTTCTTGAACAATTATAGATTGGATTTTTCACAAGATTTCCAATGAAACAGCTAAGCATTTACGACCCTTCAACATTAAATGAGGCCGATTGCGATCAAAATTGCCGCAGACGATTAACGAAATTACCGACGAAATCAAACGAAAGGTAATCATTTAAGTTTGATATTTTTTTTTTGTCATTTAATATACTAATAGTTGTTTGCATAGAAAATGCATATCGCATTTAATTGCTTTATAAGATCACGATTGCTTAATTTCAACAATCAAATTTATCTTCATATAGTAGTGAAATATCAACTAAACCAAAGTGCGAATCATACGCGAAAGCTGTCTACTCCGGAAAATCCCTGGAGAAGCAAGTACAATCTTAAAAACAAACTTTATTTATTAAAATCATTGACTATAAATCTACAATATGTTTAACGTTGATAAACAAAACATTTTGAAAAGAAATAAATTAACTGATTTCACATAAATTTTCACTTTCTAGCAAGCTCTTTTAAGAGCTAAGGAAAATTCTCTAATTTAATATCCTCTAGTCATTCCCGAGAATTTCTATATCTAGATGAAATTGTCATTACTCGATCTTGTCTAGGAATGAAATTTTATGCAAAAAATTTAATTCACAAAGTAATCAAATGAAAAAATTATGAAATATTTTATGTGAGAAGTAAATCCTTTCAGATTTTGCTTCTTTTTATCATTAAATCTATAAAAATAATATCTCAAATTAATTACATTAATTACATTAGTGATGAAAAAGCTATAGACAATTAAAAATAAATTAGCTGCTTCTAATTCATATTCACGAAACATATAACTTCTTTTGTAAACAACATTTTCATCGTTTTTTTAAAGAAAATCAACAATGCAGAAAAAGCTGCAAGCTCAACAATGCAAAAAAACTGCAAGCTCAACAATGCAAAAAAATCTGCAAGCCTTATCGATGAAATTAAACAATGAATAATTTATATGATATAGTATTTCGTTATAATTTTATACATAAATTTATAAAAAACGATTTCAAAAAGGATACTTTTTTATCAAAGCATTATTTTGAACGAAAAAATTTTTTGTTCTTTTAAAATTCAACTAAAGACAGGTAATTTAAAAAAAATTTAATTAAAGACAATTAATTAAAAAAAAATTAACTTAAGACAAGTAGTGTTGCATCCAATTTTAAGTTACTTCTATTCAAATTTTAATTTTAAGCTGCAATTATTTGATAAGAAAAGATAGAGCAATTTAAGAAGATAAGAATAATTTGTGTTCATTTTATTATTTCTTTTTTAATGTCTTATTTTTCAGATTGACTATTTTGCAAATTATCTTAGTGACAGTAATTTGCTGTATCGAAGATTGGTGTCAATATCTGTTATGGACGACATTCTTATTTGTTATGGGCCTTGATGGTCGTGAATTGTATCCGAGGTATAGGATGAAAATGATGGAGAGAAGCAATCAGAAGAGAAATAGGAAGCATCTGAGGAAGTTGAAACAAAATGGTCTTTTAAGCTTATGCACGGAAGTAAAAGTTTTTTTCCCAACCAGACGCTATATATTAATTATCAATATATAATCATTTAATCAGCAATTTTTGATTAAATTCTATTTGTTATGCAAGCAAGAAGTTCTCAGCCATTATTTAGTAAAATTATTGATAGATAAGAATTTTTAAACAAAATATACCTGTAATCAATTTTAGGCACCCTTCAATTCACGGCATGAAAATTGCCGACGAGTATCCAGATCACCATCATCTAAAATCTATGTAATTCTCGAAACGCCAGAATCATAGGGAAGAACTTTCTACTTCAATTTTGTTTTTGAATATTTCTGTCAGAGAAAAAATACGCATGTGAAACTGTGCAAACATTTTTATAAATGTTATTGCTGCATTTGAAAATGATACTTTCATCCGGAAAATAGTTTGAACGAAGTCAAGAAGTATATCTTGGTGTTTTGTGTAAGTTGCTCATAGTCAATATTTCCGGATTTTCAAGATGATACGCTTCATTACTTTTCTGCTGCTTGAAAAGTAATAGAGCCCAGCAGTTCTAGTCTTGTCCATTTCGATGATCCATCGCTTAATGGCTAATACTATAAATAAATATTTTTTAAATTGCTATTCTGAGAACAATTCAAAGCTCGTAGTATGTTCTGAAATCATTCAATGCTTCAAACGAATTTTCCTCGTAGCTTAAAATACATCTCGTTGCATGAGTCTAGTAACAAATTATAAAATGTTTACTTTAATATAAAAAAATTTTTGCAAATCCTTCTTGCCAGCAAGTAATAATTTAATTTTAGACTACGATAAATCTTTTGCTACATTTAATTAATCCATTTTATTCACAACATTTAAAAGCAAAAACTCCTTAGAGTAACTATATTTCAACGATGTAATTTTGAAAAAAAAATTTTTTAAAGTAGGTTATATTTGTTTTTGCAGAAATGATATAATTCGCAGAAATAATATGATGATAAAGTTCGTAGAAATGATATAATTTGATGATATAATTTCAGAAATGATACAATTAAATGATATAATTCGTGGAAATGATATAATCTGATGATATAATTCATGGAATTATATATTATATCAAAGTAATACTTAATTAATGATATAATTCGATAATAAAGTTGCAGAAATGGTATAATTTGATATAATTTGCAGAAATGTATAATTTGATATAAATTGCGGAAATGGTATAATTTGATGATATAATTCGCAGAAATGGTATAATTTGATATAATTTGTAGGATATAAATTAATATAATTTACAGGAATGATATAATTTGATGATATAAATCATAGAAATAATTTGATGATATAATTCGTAGAAATGGTATAATTTGATATAATTTGCAGTAATGATATAATTCGCGGAAATATTTAATCATAGCAATCGATCAAAATGGTATTATTGACAAATGCAAAAATATTTGAAAGCTCGAGAACTATCATTAAATGTTTTTGAAAAAAGTTCTTATTTCATGAATATATGAGAGAAGAGAAAAATTGTAAAACGATAATCATTAAAAGATATTCACAGCTTAATTAAGTATTACTTCAATATTTTGAAGTTTAGTATTTGTAAATTTTAAATTGGAAATGTTTCTCTGAGAAATGAAAGATGTAGTAATATCGCTATAACACTTAAACAATACGGCAATTGTGAGTTTTTAGCAAATTCCTATATTCCTTTCTGTTTCTCAATTTTAAATTTTAAGTATGGCGTCTGTAATTGCAACAAAGAGGCCTACGATATTTAATAAACCTAGAAAGAAATTACGAAATTTTAAAAAACTTAAATTCATTCAGATTTCCTGACAAATAAATTGGTGAAATAAACGGAATTTGGAGCAGTTTCCAAAAGGAGAGATCAAAACCGGAGGAGAGAACAAAACCGGAGCAATTTGGAGCAATTTCAATCCTTCAGCGGACTTGGTCAAGAAATGAAATAATACTTAATGAGCAAGAAAATTCTGAGTTTTCTAGCTTACCTAATGCTGCCTCGATGATGATACGGATGAATCATCAGTAATATAGTCTGCTGGGATTGAAAACGCCAGAAAGAAGGCTCGCATAAATGTTTTTAATGAATCAGATGATTCAAGTAAACCGAAACATATAAAAAGTAACGAGACCATTTTCTGTGTATCGGATATTATTTGTGATCTCATATATTTATAATATTATTGTGACATGTAAGACCTAATGTAAAATGCCTAATGCTAATAAACCGACACTACTACAATATCCGCGATCCACAGCTATATTGTTCAACGATCCGTCTTATATTCACCAACTTGTTTCTTCTTTTTTTTCACATTATCTACAGTTGTTACATTCAACGTGTTCAAAACTAATATGATCACTTATGTTTTCTATATCTTAAGGGTAAAATACCACTGAATAGTAGCAGCATCAGCATTAGCAGCGTCGGTGAAATAGATATGATGTTACTTAGCTGTTCGATAATTGCCACTTAAGCTCGATTTCAGAACATACTTTACCACTTGCTTCATTTATCTCATTCCATTTGTCACTTTTCTATTCTTTCCATTATTCTCTCTGTGTAAAAATGCTGTCATGATGTATGTCACATAAGTAGAGATCCTTAAGATATCAACATGAGAGAGTATTAGAAATATCAAGATTAGTTGATTACCCAGCCTTATTTACGGTCTTCTTTCCCGAGAACTTCTAATGAATATGCGAATCTATATCTGTCAATAACACTTATTTTTCCGTCACCAATATTGCAATTCATATTATAAATATCTTTTTATACGACATTTCAAGTAGACATGAAAATTATTGACGAAATATGTAAAATTATTGATGGAATAAATGCCTTGCTATATTCACTTCTTTTCAGCGAGCATAAGCTTAGCATAAGCGGCTATTCAAGAACTTATTACACTCTTATATTAAAGACACATATTCCAATTTTATCATTTATGAGTGCATTTTATTTCAAAGATCTCCCCAACTACATTATTCACTTTATGGATTTCAGTTATCCCAAAATACGAAATAACTGTTATGATGGATGAGCTCTAATTCTATAACAATAAGCATATATATCTCCCATAGGATTTTTGTTGTTACTTGTTATTTTATTTACAATTACTAGCCAGCGATTTATTTAGAGTTCTTATTGACAGCCTAAATATTTTGCCTTCACTAAAGCCTAATCTAATATCTTATCACTTTTGTAACTCTTATACTAATGTAAAATTTTTCTTTTTACTATAAAATGAATAAATTCTTTACTTCAAGACAAATCATTTAATTATTTATAATTAAACATCATTTAGTGAAGTTAAAACCAAAAATGAATTATTTGCTAATAACTATGCATGATATTATAAAAATACAAATATTGCTATCACGAGAAGTATCAGCCATGATCATCAATCCACGCTTTTTTAATCCTACTGAAATATTTTCATCGATTGTTATCCTGCAAATTAAAGTGAATCATAATATTTCTTTTTAAGGTTTCATTATTATTTAATTTAATCTTGCAAAATATCAATCGTATTCTTATTTTTAAATGATGTAAAATACTATCTGATATGATAACTCATTTATTGATATTTCGCAGTGAATAAAATAAGTGAGCTAATGGAAAGAAATATTTCCAGAAGTTTTGTTTATGCTCATAAATAAGCGTTGCTAATCGTGTGGTTCACACCAACCCAGTAATTAATCTTTCACTAAACGACGAATTAGCTCTGTTCTTCCCTTTCATTCTGCTAATTCAGTTATATAGAAATTTGTTCATCGTTCCGTTTTGTTATTTTAACTATGTAGAAAATTTTTGTTTTAAAAAAAAAACAAAAGACTGATTAATTTATTAGGCAAGGATTTAATTCATATAATTGATACTGAAAGATCCTCAATCAAATTGATATTTCATTCTCAAATAGGAATCACTAATAAATGTAAACATTTAAAATAATATTTCATTATCATTCTTTGTGGTTGCATTTGCATTTTGGCATAATTTATATTTAACTATGAAATTATAATTGAAGAGTTGTTTATTTACACCCCAATAAATAAACAGAAAAATGTTAACAAATTAAATCACTGCTTAGAAAGAGAGCTTTGCGCCTTGTTGATCAATAATACTAATAGTTGACAATAATAATACTAATACTAGTAATAACAATAATAAATAATGGTAATAATAATAACAGCAATAATAATAATAATAATAATAGTAGTAGCAATTGATAACAAAAATAATAATTGTTAATAACAATAGTAACAAAATAATTATAATAATAATAAATGATAAATAATAATACCAATAATAATAAATAGCAATAATAACAGAAGAAGAGTTATATCTAAACAACACTTAGCAAACGAGCGTTGAAACGATTTTATCATATTATTGATGCAAAATTACGCGATTTCAAGTTTGTAAATTTTTATTCATAATAAATAAAAGACATTTCTTGTTTACCATTTCAGAAAGACACAACGAGGCGGATTTTTTTGATCAGAAATGGTGAACCTGCTGACTTTGGTGGATTGCGTAATAATGGTGCATTCCTGAATTATAATAAACTTGCAAAGGTTATGAATTTATCAATTATCAGTAATATCTATTATTTAAGTAAACCATCGAATACGTTGAAATTCTTTTTTTCTCAGGAAAAGATATTAGAATTTCTTCGAATAGTTTTTATACACTTTTATATATCACATAATTGTAGATGGATATAAATCAAGCAATAATGACTGTTAAGCGATCTGGTGGTTTTGAAAATCATGTTCATGATCCACCATTAACACAAATTGGACGTGGTAGTGCTGAACTTGTTGGTCGTTGTTTATCTGAAAAAAGCTTCCATATTCATACCATTTACACTTCACCTTCACTTAGATGCTTACAGGTTCAATTCAACAGTACATTCAATAAATTCTTTAAATTAAAAATACTGATAATTCCTCGATTTTGTGTCTTTAACGTATCTTTAATTTTGTATCTTTATCTTTAATGAAAGAATTAGAACTTTGGTATCTATGATTAAATTAGTGAATCTAAAAGTTAAATTATATTTTCATTTTCCTGCTAATGTTGAAGTCAGATGAAACATTACAGACAGCAATTGCTATCATATCGGCGTTAAATTATCGTAAACCACTTAGATTGTGTATCGAACCTGCTCTCTACGAACCACTTAGTTTTATTGGAAAGGTCCGTTAAATTTTTTTCTCAATTGAATTGCTATAATTTACATTATCATTCTTTACTACATACTTAGTGTTAAATTCAACGAACTTATAAATAACCTTTTTTCAAATTCATCTATAATTTCTTCGTCAGGTACCAGAATTTCTTAGCTCAAAAGATCTTCAAGCAAATGGTTATGTTTGTGACGAGCATTATATACCAGTCATGTCAATTAACGATCTTAAATCTTCACTTCAATGGGTAATAACTAATCATACTTACTTATAATTAATAGATAATTAATAGCTATTTATTCACAATTGTTTTGTCTTTGGTGGTTTGCGGAAAAAAAAGTCATCTGATATTATGAGCACACCTTTAAATACACTATTACTTAAACGTAATGAACCCTTAACCTTTGACTATTATCTAATTCATACGCTGTAACTTTTGACGATTATTTTGTTGCAAATTTTTGTAACAAAATATTTTATAGCTTCATATTTAGGAACTAAGGCCCAGTGATATACAAATGAGGATTGAAAAAGTGGTAAATAGAATATTATCTGGACAAAAGCAAGAAGGCGGTATATTGATCGTATCTCATGCACCAATGCTCGATGCCTTATACAGGTTGGTAATTTCTTCTTCCTTTTTCCATTTTTATTTTTCTTGCAATTAATCATTTCGATACTTTTAATAGGTAAGAATAATTTAGGACTGAGTGAATGATTTCGCCACCTAAATAATTTATTTCTTGTTGATGAATAAATGATGAGGGAAAATGAAGAGCAATTTTCTGATGTTTGGAAGTTATCAAATAGTATTGATTTGACCTTTTTACTTCATAAATCATCATTCTGATGTTTAGAAGGTTAACAGTTATCAAATAATATTGACTTGACCTTTGTACCTCATAAATTACCATTCTTTATAAAGTAATTATAAACTGTTTTTTTTTAAATTATTTTTCTCTTCTAGAAAGTAGAAATTTGTGATGATAAGTTGAATGGAAAAACGCTGTAATGAATAAATTAGAGGAATTAGTGAATTTTAATAAAAATAATGATCGTTAATTTGATCGATGGAATATTTCGTTCTCATAAAATATCAGCAAATAAATTTTCATCATTTTAATAATATCATTATTTTTACAACAAAATTATAATTTTAGAAATAATAATTCTTGAGTTAAATATTAATCATTTTATGCTAATTCTATCAATAATTTTTTTTATTGCTAGATAATTTATCATAATTAAAAACCAACAAATTTAGGATGATAACAAATCGTACTGATATGCCACGAACAATAGGTGATATGCAACGTTTGATATGCTACTATCCGCATTGCTCGGTAACAATTTTGCAATACAATCCGTTAATAAAAGTATGGGAAAATCGACGTGATATTATACCATCGTTATTATATTGGCATAATAATTGTACAGCTAATGTACCAAATTTTGATTAAATCTAAAAAATTCTTATCATTTTCAATTTTTTTCTATCAATGATAATATTCATTTCGAACAATGATAATATTCATTTTGAATAATAATTTATGCAAAAAAAAAACTTTTCTTATTTTATAAGGAATATTTATAAATTATTAAAATAAATATATTGAGAATATTTTCATGAAATCGTTTAAATTTCATATATTCAAAAATCAATCAATTAATCTATCGTATGTAAATATTAGTTAAATTAAGAAAATAATATTTCAATAGCTTTTGTTATTTTTAAATTAATTTAAAACTATCTTCCAATCATTTCTTTTGGCGATAAATTTGAATTTGAAATTGAATAAAAATGAATGTTAACAAATGCATATTTGCATATTCAATCGACCAAATTTCACTTTTTCCATTATTTTGAAACATTAAATAATAATTAATTTTGATTTAAAATTGATGAATATTCTGATTTGTGTTATCACCTCAGTCATAATATCATTGATTAGTGTTATCACGTGAATCATAATATCATTGATTTGTGTTATCACGTGAGTCACAATGTCATTGATTTGTGTTATCACGTGAATCATAATATCATGATATATCAGAAGTGATTTATGTTATCACGTGAATCATAATATCATTAATTTGTGTTATCACGTGAATTATGATATCATTAATTTGTGTTAGCACGTGAATCATAATATAGTGATATATCAGAAGTGATTTGTGTTATCACATGAATCATAATTTCATGATATATTATTTTATTATTAATCATTTCTTTTGTTCATTTCAAAAATCACTCTCTCTTTTTCTATGTTATATAAAAATTCAACATGCATTTCAAAATTAGCTGTAACAGAATTTTGAATAGATTTATTTAACAGTTTTTATCAATAAAGTATTATTAAGATGCGATACATTAATAAAAAATTGTGGCGCCATTATCATTTAAATTCTATTAGCATTGATATGTTAATTTTATAAAGTGTTATTGAAGGTGTGGGAATTTGTTAATAAATTATCTTTGATTAATTTGAAGATATTATTTTCGAAATTCAAAAAATTGAACAAAATAGTTTGTAAATGAAAATTTTTAAAAATCTAATCCGGTACAATACCGAGTTCTTTATATGTATCATTTAAAAAAATTACAAACGCATTTCATATATATATATATATAATGCAAAACATAAATGTATCTTTATTATGTATAGTAAAATGAATTTTAAAAATGATTGACCAACTAATGACCATTCATTTCATATATATACCATGCAAAAAATCAATGTATCTTTATTATGTGTAGTAAAATGAATTTCAAAAATGATTGACCAACTAATGACCATTCATTTCATATATATACCATGCAAAAAATCAATGTATCTTTATTATGTGTAGTAAAATGAATTTCAAAAATGATTGACCAACTAATGACCATTCATTTCATATATATATATATATACCATGCAAAAAATCAATGTATTTTAATTATGTATAGTAAAATGAATTTTAAAAACGATTGACCATCTAATATCCATTCATAAAGATCTCGGATTTCATCCATTTTTCATTTCTATTATACTGTTCCTACTACTTTTTTCATTTATGTTATAATAATTGGTAAAATTATTGAACGAAACTGTATTCGTACTATTTTCACTTTTTTATTATTACTATTATTTTACAAATTTAAATGCACATTTTTCTTCTCATATAAATTAATCTTTCGATACAGGTAACTTTCTTTCATCAACAGGTGTAATTTTCCACTTATAAAAATAATTGCAATGTTAGCTCTTGTTCAGATGAACTTCGCTAGCGGTGACTAAATAAATCGATAGTGTATTCACTTTTTTCTTTTCATGCGAAGCTGTCATTAAGAAAAATTTGATAATGATTTAAAATTTATCTTTTTTTTTTTTAATAAATTCAATTCTGATTGTTAATGTTAGATATGTAAGTGAATGCTTAAAAATAGAATAACTAACATGATCATTTTCAAGGAGTTAAAATTTAACTCGAAAAGTTAAATTTTAGGTCATATCATAATATCATATCATAATCATATCATAATAAACAAATATTATTATAATGGCATATTATTGCTGAGAAACTTATCGATTTATTACTTTTCAATTTTTAAATCACAACAAACTTTTAACAAAATGTAAAAATTTTTAAGTTGAATTATTTTATTAAATTGCGTTAAATCTATGCTTACTGATAAATTAGATAGAAATAATAATATTTCAACTAATTATTTTTTACGTTAAAACATTAGGAAAGAGAACAAAAGCGTTGAAATTAAAAACTGTCATTTATGCCAATGATACAAGTATTTATCATACTTCCTCCCTTTCTGCCATATCAATATTTATCATACTTCCCTCCCTTTTATCATACAAGTATTTATCATATCTAATTTTTTTATCCTTCATTTATTTTACATTTTTGTTTAAAGTTTGCCTAAGCTTATTTAAATGTTAACAAATCATCCTCTTCCGCCGAAACTTATCAGTTTAGAAAATCGACTTTTTGTGATAATAATTTTTGATTAATATCTTATATTAATACTTGTATACTCTTTTTGATTCCTTCTCATTAATACCTTATCATTCTCATTTCTGATTTCTTCCTACTCGTACGTCTATAATGAATCTGAAGCATTTTTTCGTTTCTTTAATCATAAATTTATGTAAATATATAAAATTAAAAATTGTTGAGTGATATCGTGCAACTGTCAACTGTTCACTTTGGCAGATTACCTGGCTAGGTTTGTTTACAGAGTTGTGATAAAGTATTCGAATTCAGTTTTTTGCAATATGAAATAAAATTTAAAAAGTTAAAATTGAAATTCTTTCTGTCACTTTTACTACAATTTATAATTTATCGTGCATCATTCATTCAAATAATATGAATGAAACGTGGATTGATGAGATATTACAGAATTAAACTCATTCCTCTCTAATATCCATTCTTTACGATAATTATTCATCCTTCAGATCGGTAAATCATTATTCTCAATACATTTACACTGTTGTTGAACTATTACAACAATTCTATTTTGATCAGCTTACGATCTCCCATTTGATATTGCATCATACTCCTATTATCTATCATAGATTATCTTTTGCAATCGTTACTTTTGATACGGTTGTTATCGAAAAAATTTTTTTCGAGTAAAATTAATCTCTTCAGATTATAGCACACATTTTTACACCAATTAATTTTAATGATTAATTGAAATGAACTAATTCTATCTTTGTCTGTCTTGACCTTTCATATATCACATTAATTATTGATCAATGTTATTTTCGAATTGTTCATCACAAAATCCAGTTTCTTCTCTTTATCTTCTTTTATTTCCATTTCATCTCACACAGCATAATGTTCAATGATGTTACATTATATAAATTCTGAAATGAAATTTTTGTTCGAAATTTGGAATATTTCAGAAATTGATAATTGATAATTGATTGATAATTTTTTTGATCAATTGATAATTTATGATAAAAAAGTGATTATGCCAAGATGATTGTATACTATGCATATATTAGAGCTATGATGGGCGAACTAATTAAGTGTCATTAATATAAAATTGAAATTTTCGAATAAATTATGAATATTTATAAATATTTCAAGAAGATATTATTAATCAATTGTGCAACAAATATCAATATAATTCATTTGATAAGAATTTGATAAATTTGCGATCATAATTCCTTTCTATCGATGATTCATTCCCAAAATTATGATAGATTATCATTATTTTGCAACCATATAAATAAATATTACTATATTAAATATTTTGCAAAAAATTAAAAACTATTAACTATTCACAAACTATTAACTATTCACAATTAGCATAAATGCCAAATACCTGCATTTCATATGTTTGATCTCTTTCTTCCTATCATACTAACATCTATAATATTTTTTATCTTAATGGTATCTATCATATTTTCTATCATATAAGTATTTATCGTACTTCCTATCATACTTCTATGATACAGAAAGGAGCAGGTCAAAAGTTTGATCATTGATTGAAACTATCACATATTTCAACTCTTAAAGTGACTAAGTGAAAAAATGAATTTATATTAATGATTTATCTACAATTGTTAATCATCAATTATTATAATCCAATTTATCTCTCATATTGTTTTAATTTTAATAGATCATTTCTCAGATTAATTAAATAAATATCTGTATTAAATGATAAAAATGAAATATTTTAATAGATACTATTTCTAATTATAATAGAAACAATGATAACGAACATATATAATTTTTATTAAATAATATGTGAATAGTTAATAGTTTGTAATTTTTTACAAATTATTTAATATAGTAATATTTATTTATATTGTTGCAAAATAATGATAATCTATAATAATCTCTATCTCTTGATAAAGAAAAACTATATGATCGTCATCATTGTTTATTATAATCAATAACAGCATCTATTAAAATATTCCATTTTCATTTAATACATTTTTTTCCATTCAATAATATAATAAACGATCATGAAGTAGCAATTTTTTCCAATAATCTAACCTTCAAAACATGACATCATTTTTCTTCAATACATTAATATTTTCTACTAAGTGATACATCAGTATATTCTATTAAATGATATATCAATATATTCTACTCAATGTATATCAATGTATTCCATTACATGATATATCAATATATTCTATTAAATGATGCATCAATGTATTCTATTATATGACATATCAATATATTCTATTAAATGTTACATCAATGTATTCTATTACATGATACATCAATATATTCAATTAAATGGCATATCAATATATTCTACTCAATGTACATCAATGTATTCTATTAAATGTTATATCAATGTATTCAATTAAAATCAAAATTGATGATATTCTTAAAATTAAAACTGATAATATTCTTCAATTGATACTATCAATTGATTATTTATTCGCTCCAATAGAAGTGATCATTCATTGCAAGAATAGTTGTATTTATTGAATTA